GCGTAGAACGGCGAGTCCTTCTCACACGCCACCGACAATACAACTGTTTGATGCGCCATTGGATTTTGTGCATCTACTTCTGTCCAGGCGAGCCCCGCCGCACCTACTTGCAAAACATTTAACTTTCTTGAAATATCTATTTGAAATTGAAATTGTAATTTAAAATTGAAGTGTAAATCGAATATTACAAATGAATCCCCATTGTATGGTAACGCCGGTGTCAGCAGAAATTCAGCACCTTTGACAGTAGCTTACAGACTCAGCGCTGTATGTATAGGTGTGCAAATACATAAAAAACGAAAAAATCTGATTTTTCGTTTCCAATCGACAATTTTTTCGGAGCTGTAAAAACGTATTCTGAGCCCTTTTACGCGACTACCGGCGGTGCCTAATTTTAGCCAATTTTCCATTAAATCACATAAAACCCTTGTACGCATGAATTTAAAGTGTTATACGAATTGAAGCGTCCAATAAAGTTTATGTTTATGCATAAATCGTGAACTTGAACATTTTCGAGTCTTTATTGTCAAAACCAAAAGGTTCCGTGAATCGCTCGAGTGACAGTAGTTTCTATAGTGCGTTGCGTTATCTTTTAACTCTTCAAGAAGCCTCTATGTTCGTTAAGGGGCTATAAATAGCCTATTGACCAATCGTTAGCAGTTCTGCCATCCGTCGAGTGTACGCCCACGATCGACTCACCAGCGCTAACGAGACAACCGCCAACCTGCCAGCAGTTCTACCAGACATCTGCCGATCCGTCTGCAACCACCTCCGCCGCCTGCCAGTCTACGCAGTCAAACCGACGCCTGCATTCCATCGCCTGCCCGCATACCCCATAGCCATTGGCGCCTCCCAGGCCGTGTCGACCAATACGTCTAGAGCACCCATCTGAGGATAGCCCCTGCCTAAGCTACAGCCAAGGCGGCTGTAAATGGTCCTTCTCTCCGAGAATCAAAAACCAGCGACTTAAACCCTACATAAGTATCCACAAAAGCCGTAAGTAAAGATATTTTTCTTAATTTCCCTATATTGCGGCTACATACATATCTACATATATATATTTTATAAAAAATTTGGCGGGAAAATAGACTCAATAGTCAAGAAAAATTTAACGGCGAACGACAAAATTTTTTGCAATACCGCTTGTCGACGGTAGATTTCGGCAAAAGTTAACCTACCCGCTTTCGCGTAAACGACACACAAACTTAGTGTGAACCATATATGCGATTATAAGTACATATGCACATAATCACATACACATATACATATGTATGTACATAAGAAAAAATAAAATCGTGTAAAACTCGAATTTGCTATTTCTCACATAATTGCACATTTATTGCAATAATATCCTTACATACTTGATACATACGCATATATTTAACGCGAAAACAGGGTGCTTTTGCACATTGCCTTGGCCCATCCAAGTACTTTCCCGTTCCAAGTTCGTTCGTTCCGCCAATGACACATATGTGCATTAAACTGCATCACCAAAAAAAGTTGCGGTTTTTCCGCCGGGATTACAAAATTTATTATATTTTAAGACGTCCACCAAAATATTTCGGAAAAATATTAAGATTTAAGCGAGCTGGACCGATTTGAGAATACCTCCAAAAATGAAGCTTTTTATGAATAAAAATAGTTTCTTAAAGAACTTTTTTAAAAAAGTACCCTCAGATAACAAATTAGATTAAGCTTAAAAAATCTGCATACAAATATTTAAAAATCCTTTCAACGGAATCGTAAGAATGAGATTTTTGATGCTGTTTTTTACTTTTTTCAAAGATTGGTTTACGAAAAACTTGAATAACTGGGACAACAATGTTCTGATTTAGACTTATGGGATCTCAGTAGAAAGGTATTTTGACACTGTGTTTATTTCTGGCCAAAAAAACGTCATTCGAGTCCCATCTTGTTTTTTCGAATACCAACACATCTTAATTTAACTTTGAATGACGTTCTTTCATCCTACCTTTCTCTTCCATCGTTTGAATGAGTTTATTAGCAAAGAGATAAAAAGGGTGAGAAAATACCTTTCCAATGATATCTCACAAGTCTAAATCGGGAGAGTTTAGGCTTAGTTATTCAAGTTTTTCTTATACCAGTCTTTGAAAAAAGTTAAAAACAGCATCAAAAATCTCATTATCACGATTCCGTTCAAATTTTTTTTTAAATTTTTAAAAAATATTTTTACGCAAATTTTTTAAGCTTAAACCGTTTTGTCATTTGAGGGGATTTTTTCAAAAAAAAATCTTTAAGAAACTATTTTTATTCATAAAAGACTCCATTTTTGGAGGTATTTTCAAATCGGTCCAGCTCACTTAAATTTTAATATTTTTCCGAAATATTTTGGTGGACGTTTTAAAATATAATAGATTTTATAATTCCAATGGAAAAATAGTACCGATTTTTTTTTGTATGGGGAGTGATGCAGTCTAATGTACATATATACATAGAAAACAATTTGAAAGCATACATATAGTGGGGCAAAACTCATCCCAGCGGGTAAAATTATATTTATTCTCGTTTTATTAATTTATTACATATGAATAACTATACAATAACTAATTGTGCCTACAGCGTGAGTACGCGCGTAAACACGAAATCTTAACACATTTAAATATTGCGATTTCTGATATTGTTAAAGACAAATAAGTTTGCTAACAGTGCGGACAGGTCGTGAATATACCCCTGATTCTTTCGCTTTTGATTCGCTTTAACCCGGCTATTGGAATTTATTGTGCATAATTTGTGTCCTATACATCACTCTTTTTTGATTTTTCGGTGTCTGTCCAAAAGCTCTGATCTTTGCATTTCAAACGTGATTTTAAATTCAAAACCGGCACATATTTGAAGTAATAACCTTCACACTGCCGTAAATTCTCATATGTTTGATGTTATTAGCAACCCACACCGAAGACAAGTTAAAAAGCCCCAAAATGAGTGATGACGAAAAAGGTCAAAGCGCTTCCACCGAATCACAACCCGCGACGCGTTCAAGTGGAAAGTCCGCAAAAAAATCGAAACCTTCGGTCTCATCCACTAATTTCATAGAAGAGACTGATAATTTTATGGATTATTGCACACGATTTAGATCAACCCAACTAGAAGATAATTCTGAGTCTGCCCAAAATATTAAAAGTGCCAACTTAGACAATTTCTGGACACGAGTGCAAAATTCGTATGATAGGGTAGTAGAGACAGATGAGCATGACCTCCCTGAAGATTTTAAAACTTGTGCCTACAGCAAATACCGGTCATGCCTCATCACCTATGAGGACACCAAAGCGCAAATCGGTGACCAGCTCCACCTCCTCAAACAAATGAGCATTCCCATGCCTGCGCACTCTACGTCGCAACCCAAAGACGAATCTGACTTTGGCTTAAAAGTCCCTCCTTGTGATACTGAGGTCTTTTACGGGGGTTATGAACAATGGACGTCCTTCCGTGACATGTTCACGGTGGTCTACATAAACCACCCTAAACTCACAAAAGCGCAAAAATTGTACCACCTTAGGTACAAAACACAAGGTAAAGCCGGCCAGATCGTGAAACAATTCGCCCTTAGTGATGACAATTTCGAGCTGGCATGGGAAGCTCTCCGGTCCCGATATGAGAACAAGCGTGTATTAGTGGACAACCAGATTCGAGTTCTAATGAACCTAAAGCCAATTCAAGTGGAAAACAGTGAAGACATTCAAAGGCTTCAATCCACTGTTAACAACTGCCTCCAAATCCTGGCAGCCCAGAATGTATCCACCGAAAGCTGGGATCCCATTTTAATATACTTAGTTACCTCGAAACTCCCCGAGAACACGGTTACTTAATGGGAACAGTCTCTAAGCTCAAGGAAAGATCTTCCCAACTGGTCCCAAATGAACCAGTTCCTCACCACTAGATACGAGGTAGTTGAAAGGGTCGACCAATGGCGACCACCCAAGGACAAGCCTAATTTTGCAAATAATAACTATAAAAGGCCACCACCATCCCATACTAGACCATTTATGAAACCACTACAAACCCAAAGTTCACAAAATAGATCCCATTCTCAGGTCCAATCACACCTGACAGAACAAAGAAAGTTCGCTTGTGTTATCTGCAAACAACAAACCCATTCCCTCAGTCAGTGCCTCAAATATAAAATACTCTTCATAAACGATCGCGAAAAACTTGTGATGGAACATAACTTGTGCACTAACTGCCTTTCCTCCACGCATACCCTCCAAGACTGTCCATCTGACCGGACGTGTTATAAATGTCAAAGAAGGCATCACACAACTCTCCACAAGGACGTAACCTCCACGCCTAACCACCATCAACCACAACCGCGGAGAACCAGTTCTCAGGTTTCGACAGCTTCTGCTAACCTTCAAACGCCAGACCGCTCGGAAATCCAAGACGAGCTCCCCCAATGTTCCAATCAAGTACAATCTCTTTACGCAGATAATGAAAACCAAGTACTCCTCCCTACTGCGATAGTCCATGTAAAACATGGAGGCGAGCTCTTCAAACTGAGAGCACTTATTGATCAGGGCTCCAAACGAACCTTTATCTCATCGAAAGCCCAGTCTAGACTAAGGCTACCCTGCCAAGCTTCGAGTTTCGAGATCTCTGGTATGGGCGGAAAAATTGTCCAGACCTCAAACAAGTTGTGCTCCTTGGTCTTAGTCAGCTCTGATCTAAAGCGCGAAATCCCAGCGCAAGCGATAGTACTGCCCCAATTAACCAAGTTGCTTCCAAAATTCCATATAAGTTCTGAGCAAAAGAAGAAATGGTCCCATCTTGATTTAGCAGACCCTAACTGTCATTCTCCTTCCCAAATCGACCTGGTTATTGGCAGCGATATGCTTCCCCAAATTATGCTTGATGGGCTTAAAAGAGTCTCTCGCAACTTACTTGCCCAGAACACCATATTCGGTTGGATCTTGAGCGGCCAGATCCCAGAAAGAGTTGCAACTTTCTCTACTCAGGTAGAAGAAGCCAGCAATGAGCATTTGAATATGGAACTCAAAAAATTTTGGGACTTAGAAGAAGTTCCAAAATATGAAAACATCACCCCGGAAGGCGAGATATGTGAAGATTTTTATAGATCAACAACGGCCCGCACCGCTGAAGGACGTTATATAGTCCGACTCCCATTTAAGTCAAGCTTTCCTGATAAAATCGCCTTAGGATATTCTCGTACCGCAGCCTTGCAACAATTCCTCAGTATGGAGAAGAATCTTCTCAAGAAAGGCGATCTAAAACATCTTTATGACAGTGTTGTGGAGGAATATCTTACCCTCAATCATATGGAACCGTCGAGTTCGTATGAGATAACCTCAGAGAGAAAATACTTCTCCTTTTATCTTCCCCATCATGCAGTCATAAAGCCTGAAAAAAGAACTACGAAAGTAAGAGTTGTCTTCAATGCATCAAAGAAATTGGGCACCGGCAACTCGCTTAATGATATTCTGCATACCGGGCCGACCCTACAACCCGACTTGATGCTACTAGTTCTCAAATGGCGCACTTACCAATATGTCTTCAATGGTGATGTGGAGAAACTGTATCGCCAAATACTCTTACACGAAGAAGACCAAGACTTTCAAAGACTTATCTTTCGTGCATCCACAGGAAGTCCAATACAAGACTATAAACTGGAAACCGTCACATTCGGCGTTAATTGTGCTCCCTATCTAGCCATACGCACTCTCCACCAATCAGCACAAGACGTAAAAATTACCCACCCCTTGGCTTTGCTCATATTAACCAAAGAAACCTATGTGGATGACATCCTATCTGGCAGTCATGACCTGCTCACTGCTACCCAGGCTCTTCCAAGTCATCCAAGCCCTAAAATCCGCCAGTTTTCCCTTGAACAAAATCATTGCCAACCATCTTAATATCCTGAAATACATAAGCAAGGAAGATTTGCTGGACACCAACTTCCTCGAGTTTGAAAAGGCAAGCACTACGAAGACTCTGGGGATTCAGTGGAACGCCCTCACTGACTCCTTCTCTTATACAGTTGATCCCATCCCAGCATCATCCGCGAACACAAAACGGCAAATCCTATCATCTGCGGCGAAACTTTTCGACCTCGCAGGATGGCTTACGCCGATAATGATGCAAGCCAAGATTCTCTTACAAGAGGTATGGCTTGACGGGACTGACTGGGACGAGCAGGTCAAACCCCTCCGTCTAACAAAATGGACACAGTTCGCCAATAATCTACAATCAATCTCAAACATCCAAATACCTCGATGGGTAAATTATATCCCCGATAGTCATGTTGAACTCCACGGCTTCTGCGACGCCTCGGAAAAGGCATATTGCGCCACCATATACGTTCGTAGTACCCATGACACCCAAGTAACCTCTCGTCTTTTGGTAGCTAAAAGCAAAGTACCCCTACGAACCATCAGCCTACCCCGTCTCGAATTGTGTGGAGCCCTCCTACTAGCCAAACTCGTCGCGGTCGTCCAAACCCATCTTAATCTCTCCACAAAAAGGCTTATCATGTGGTCGGATTCCGAAATCGTTCTAGCATGGCTAGAAAAACCGCCCCATACATGGAAAACATTTGTTTCCAACCGCACTGCGCAAATCATCGACCTAGGTGGAAACGCCACCTGGCGACACGTGCGCGGCAAGGACAACCCAGCTGATATGGGAACCAGAGGATGCAAACCCCTTGATTTAGCAGCTTCCTCCCTCTGGTGGAATGGTCCGGAACGGCTAACAAGCCCCACCGAAGCCTGGCCAAAATCTTCAACGCGAGATATCAACGCCCCAGAAACTCGACGAGTGGAGGCACTCCATGTCGCTGAAGAAGAGCCTGACATTCTAGACCGGTTCTCCTCATTTCCGCGCGCCCTCAGGGTAATGGCGTATGTCTTCCGACTTATAAACACCCTGCAACGTCGAGTAGAAAGAGTTCATACTATTAACCCTGTGTCCCTCACCCACGATGAACTCCGTGCTACGAAATACCGACTTATAGCTTTGACACAAACTCGACATATTCCTCGCGAAAGGGCCTGCTTAGAAAATTCAAAACCAATCGATAAGCGGAGTCCTTTGCTTACCCTCAATCCGTCCATCGATAAGCACAACCTACTCCGTGTCAACGGTCGATTAGCTCACGCCACCTTAAGCTACAATGAGCGACATCCCATAATCATTCCCGAGAAATCCCGATTCGCTACCCTCTATCTACGCTTCTTGCATGAGTTACTTCTCCACGCAGAAACACGTCTGATGCAACAAGTCATCAGACAGGAATTCTATATCCCCCGGCTCAAGCCTCTCATAAAGAAATGCATCTTTCAATGCAAACCCTGCACGGTCCACAAACAGCAAATGCGCTCCCAAATAATGGCAGCTTTGCCATCTGAGCGGCGCACCTTTTCTCCGGCCTTTAAGGTCACCGGTGTGGATTTTGCGGGGCCTTTTCAAATAAAGGCCTCAATGCTAAGATCCCATACTTTATTGAAAGGCTATGTCGCCGTCTTTGTATGCTTTACGACAAAGGCGGTGCACCTGGAGCTGTGCTCTGATCTCACCACAAACGCTTTTCTAGCTGCATTTGCTCGTTTTGTTGGACGCCGTGGCTATCCGGCCAAAATCATGAGCGATAATGGCACAACCTTTGTAGGAGCCAAAAGAACAACGGAGAAAGAATTTATAGACTTTATGGAAGAAGTGTCACAAGAAGTCGTTCAGAAATATTCACCTCAAGGGATCAACTGGCAGTTTATTCCCCCCAGTGCCCCTCATATGGGTGGCTTGTGGGAATCCGCGGTTAAAAGTTTTAAACTCCATCTCAAAACAACCGCTGGAGCCCACAAATTTACCTTCGAAGAGTTTACTACTCTCTTAATTAGAATAGAAGCCGTTTTAAATTCCAGGCCAATCTCATCCCTCTCCCAAGATCCAACTGAGTTCACGGCGCTTACTCCTGGCCACTTTCTACGTGGCACCTCACTCTTATCACTCCCAGAAGTGAACCACCAAGATCTATCGTTAGTTAACAGGTGGGAAAAGGTGAAGGTCTTGCATCACCAATTCAGTCGCCGTTGGAAGGAAGACTATCTCACAGATCTCCAAAAAAGGTATAAATGGAAAAACACACAAGTTGAGCCGATCGTGGATCAATGTGTCCTCATAAAGGACGATAATCTACCCCCCACTGAACGGCGCCTTGGCCGTATAGTAAAAACACATCACGGCAAAGACGGTCATATTAGGGTAGTCGAGGTGCGCACCCAAAACGGCACTCTAACACGACCCATTGTTAAATTGTGTCTCCTACCCGCAAACGACCTACCCAGACCTGTAGAAGCCTAGACCTTCTAAAACCCTCCCTCAAGCCAACTCTTCTTTGTTGACTCGACTGCCGCACTGTTAACTTCTCCCGCCTATCTCCGCTGTAACCACACTCCCTTGATTAATGAGTGCATAATCATTATACGAATATATATGCCCCAATCCCATATGCTTCACAGGCAAGTACCTTAGGAAAAATCGCCCACTAATCGCCGCCATTCGACCACATATATTTGCAGATGGAGATGGAGACCGACACCGGCAGTAGTCCGAAGCAAACACCGAAGCCAGCACCTAGAACAGCACCTAGACCCGCACCCACGCCTGCTCCTCAACCAGCACCTCGTCACACGCGGCTGTCGACAGTGGTGCCACCTCCTGACCCGGCCACCGAACCGCAGCCAAAGAAGGATGACTTCCAGCGATGCCGATTATGTGCTCGCTACCATGCACTGCGTGCTTGTTGAGTCTTTCGGGCAATGCAACCTGGGCAGCGATACCTTGTCGCACGGGCACATGGGTTTTGTAACAATTGCCTTGCATTGTCCCACCAACGCAAGGACTGTTCCTCAGCTGCAACCTGTAGAGTGTGCGGTCAACTTCATCACTCCCTCCTGCATCGAAGCGCGACTCACTCGAAGCCGCCAAGGCAACGCCCTGTCGACCGGTTTCGCACGAAGACATCAAGGCAGCGCCACGTAGCCATTAAACGCAAGAAGCCATCGCAGTCAAATCTGCAGCAGCGTGAAAGGAGGAGGACCCAAGCAAATGAAGGCAAAACGACCAAGCTTCTGGTAGGGAGCGCAATTCGTACCCTGAAAGAGTTGCAGAGCAGCCTAGTCGCTTAGTGCGCCCAGAGGGGGTAGGATGTCCAGGCGAGCCCCGCCGCACCTACTTGCAAAACATGTAACTTTCTTGAAATATCTATTTGAAATTGAAATTGTAATTTAAAATTGAAGTGTAAATCCAATATTACAAATGAACCACCATTGTATGGCAACGCCGGTGTCAGCAGAAATTCAGCACCTTTGACAGTAGCTTACAGACTCAGCGCTGTATGTATAGGTGAGCAAATACATAAAAAACGAAAAAATCTGATTTTTCGTTTCCAATCGACAATTTTTTCGGAGCTGTAAAAACGTATTCTGAGCCCTTTTACGCGACTACCGGCGGTGCCAATTTTCCAATAAATCACATAAAACCCTTGTACGCATGAATTTAAAGTGTTATACGCATTGAAGCGTCCAATAAAGTTTATGTATATGCATAAGTCGTGAACTTGAACATTTTCGAGTCTTTATTGTCAAAACCGAAAGGTTCCGTGAATCGCTCGAGTGACGGTAGTTTCTATAGTGCGGTGCGTTATCTTTTAACTCTTCAAGAAGCCTCTACGTTCGTTAAGGGGCCATAAATAGCCTATTGACCAATCGTCAGCAGTTCTGCCATCCGTCGAGTGTACGCCCACGATCGACTCACCAGCGCCAACGAGACAACCGCCAACCTGCCAGCCGTTCCACCAGACATCTGCCAATCCGTCTGCAACCAGCTCCGCCGCCTGCCAGTCTACGCAGTCAAACCGACGCCTGCATTCCATCGCCTGCCCGCATACCACAAAGCCATTGGCGCCTCCCAGGCCGTGTCGACCAATAGGTCTAGAGCACCCCTCTGAGGATAGCCCCTGCCTAAGCTACAGCCAAGGCGGCTGTAAAACTTCCATGACCACTGTGCAACTTTTTAGATCCCACAGCTTGACTGCACCATTTGTATAGCCAACGCAGAAGCTCCTTCCATCACCGGTCAAATCGGCTACACCGCAACGCACACCTTCTCCCGGTAGTATCTTATTATCGCCCATCGAGTATTCCCACACTTTCAGCAGCGTTAACTGTGGACCAGACTCACTCTCTTGCAACTTGTGAACAAATAATTCGCCAGCCATGTCGCCGGTGGCTAGATATGTGCCATCGTAACTGACATGGACATTGGTGACGGTGTCTTTATGTTCCGTAAGTCCAAGCATCACTTCGCACTTTATATTCCAAACATAAGCGCGATCATCTTCAATTTCGTTTACATGGGGCGTTGTATTTTCACGCATTTTAAACGGCTATTTGTTTAGCGGAGGGCTATACTTATGGTACAAAAATTAATTTTTCTTATTCTTTCACGATTGTTTTTTGTTTCTGAAAGAGAAAATGATCAATTACCGAATATTGTAAAGGAAACACAAGGCATACTTACACATTTTACTGCTTTACTCCATGTGGCCATCGATTGAATGACTTTTTGCCATTCAGGAAATCGTAACGTGAGCCGCTGAGTAGAAATGTCAATTTTAGTCTCCGCCTTAAGCCGGAACTACATATTTTTAAGTCTCCGCCTAAAGCCGCAACTACATAACTTCCAGCGGCGCCATCGATTTCTCGTTTGTGTAGAATAGTTTTTTTTTTTTTTTTTTTTTTTGCTCCCAGGCTTGTAATGCAAATCATTCGTAAAATTATATTTATTAATTGCCACTTGGAACCAGACGTAACCATGCATAAATAACGTGAACGCAGTATGACGGTTAAATTAT